CAACACTCACTCCAACGGCCCAGAAGTCGCTGGGATTAAACTGAGGAGCTGGGGCGAGTGACGACCCGTGTGCTCCTACAGAAGGACAGAGGAGTCGGGGCACAGCAGGCTCAGGGGACAGGCAGCCGTGGAAGAGCTTTCTCCCCAAGAAACACAGGAGGGCAGCTTCACCCCACGCAGCTCCTGGTCCAGAAAGAGTCCCAACAAGGACGTCCTGTCACGGACGCGGGGTCGCACGGCTCACGCGATCACATGGCACGGGGTCTCTGTGAAGAGCAGCAGGGGCTTCGGGGTGGAGGGCTGTGACCAGGAGAATGCGTGGATGCTGCCAAGCGGATACCCGTCGTCCCCTCGGGCACCACCAGCACCTTACGTGACAGCCCTGACCTCAACGGTCACCTCGCAGATTCTCCCTTATTGTTCCCACGCAGGATGCGCGTTTCCCAGTGATTATGGTCTAAGATTTAAAACACTTAAAAGCTGCACTTAAGATTGGAGAGCAAAAGTCAGGGCTTTCTTCCCTTTTCTTGGATCAGAAAAGAATCAACCAACCAGCCAGTGGCCACAGAGGAAGGCGGAGGCAGACCTGGGAGGCCCCGATCCCATGGCCCCAGGACCTCCAGCAGAGCCTGCAGGGCTTTGCACAGATGGGGAGCTCCGGGCGTCAGGCCCAGGAAAGGGCGAACGGGTGGCTTCCTCAGGAGTCCAGGAACACCACCCCCTTTCAGAGGCAGCACGAACCTCAAGTTCATGGTCAGCAGCTGACATTGCCCAGGGCGGGCGCGATCCGGGGAAGGAGCGGGGCTGTGAACACCGCCCACCCCATTCGGCGGATGAAACGATGCCAGGCTTCAACATGGCTCTCTTCTGAACATCTAACCCTCCCAGCACTTTTCTCAGGGAAATCCTCCTCCCCGGAGATTCTGGGGACAAAGTCCATGCCTTCCACAGAAGCTCCCAGGGCTGCTCTGGGCGCCGCGTCAGTTCCTCACCAGTCCCACTGGCCAGTCCCCAGCACGGCGGCGACAGCCCACTGGGAGCACAGATGCCGCTGCCGGACTCGAGGGTGCACGGGTCCAGGGAAATTCAGAGCTGCCAGGCACCTGAGACCGTGGCAGGCAGGACAGACCACGTGCGCCCCCGAGTTCACCCTGGTGGGGCGGGGGGGGGGGAGGGGGCAAGGAAAATCCCAAGTTGGTATTTCTCATCTAAAATATAATGAAGCACAATGAAAGACGTTTAAAATGCCATTCCTGTTTTCAAAACGGACTCACAATTTCCAAGGGTGTGACTTCGGGCGTGGAGCCCTAGGAGTTTTAAGAACCAGTGTGAAGAAGCTGCCTGTGCCACGTGCATCGCGAAGTGTTAGCCAAAAACCTCTTTCCCCGGCCTCTACAGACAGGAACCCAAACCCTTGAGCCTGCTGGGGATTCAATATTCCTCCCCCAAGCCTCACTTCTCGTGTAGTGCAAAGGCCCAGCGGCATGCTTCTCTGCACTTCTGCCTTCTTGGAAGAACCACCACGTATGAAAACAAACCCACCCACAGAACATTATTCGCTACGTCAGTGACTCCTTCTTCACATATTAAAAAAATGTTACCCACCGCTAAAGAAATCATTCTCAGAAGCAAAGGGGAAAGAGTTCAATTTACACACGAGGAAGCTGGAGGTTGCCTTGGCACAGATTTTTCATTACGGCATAAATACGAACTTAGTCCTCCAGTGAAATATGCAAGCCTTCCTAACAGTGGTCATTAAAACAGAAAGTCGTGCTCTCTCATGTCTAGAGGCCGGTGCCCTGGTGTGTAGACTTCAGTTTAGGGAGTTTCTAGGCCATAGACACCTGTAATAATTCAAAGTCTTCACATCTATGATTTCTTCGGATTTAACAGAAATAACCAATAAATGTGGCCATCATTCCTTTACATCCTAAGTCGCTATGATCATGTCACAGACTTACCCTCTCGTAAAACTGGTTACCTTATAAAGAAAAACTACTTAGAAAGGCAGGTCAATTCACACAGCTTGTACTGGGGCAGTGTGTGAATGTGTGTCCTTCCCAGAAGACCCCGGTGCCCAACGTTTGCTGTCGTAGCCGTTTCTTTTCTAATCAGTCTTAGACTTAAGCTGAAGCCTTCACTTTTCTATTATTTTTAAGATGTAAAAATCTCTCGATTCTCAAAAACTCTCTCGAGACAACCTAACAGGGACACGGGAAGCCCACGGCCCATCGGGATGTTGGCCCCCCTGCACGGTGCTCGGTCAAGGAAACGTCCTTCCCTGGAGGGCTGCCCGCTCTATGATCTTTGTCAAGTGTGCTCAGACCCCGGAGAAAGCTACTCTTGAGTCAGTGTTCTTCACCGCGTCTGCATGGCGCCAAAGGCCCCTAGAGCACTTCGTTCACATTCACAGCTCCTTATACATGCTCCAGGTTCTGACAACTTCAAAAGCACCCGAGTATAGATACTAAGTGACTTTTCAGTGACAAGTCAGAGGTATTAAGCATCAGCCCTTTGGATGCACTCTGGGGACCCCTTTCGCATCCCTTAGAGTTCTGAGGAGACATACGGACACAAATCCATCTTTCTAGTAAAAACAAAAACAGCACAACAACAACAGGTTTGGGGGTTTTAAGTAAACGTTTTTAAGAAAGGGGACTACAGGACAGAGACGTAAGGGATCAAGAGTCCCTGGAGCATTCTTTTGCACAGTGCGCTTTACGTGGTGCCGTTTTCAGGCTACAGGGTTATAAAGTTGTGACGCAGCATTCCTTGGTAAACTGTGCTCTGGAGGGTAACACTTAGAACCGAGAGGCCAACTCTTCACAACGGCACTGAAGGTACATACAGCTCTCAGAAGACACACAGGCTGTGGCTAGGCATGTTGAAAAGGTTGCAATCTGTTATTTAATTCAGTCTTTTTTTTTTTTTTAAGAATTTACTTAGAGCGAGCACGCGTGCAGGGGCAGGGGCAGAGGGAGAAGCAGACTCCGTGCTGAGCACAGAGCCCGATGTGGGGCGTGATCCCACAACCCTGAGACCATGACCTGAGCTAAAACCAAGAGTTGGGCTCAACCGACTACGCCTCCCAGGAGCCCCATGTTGCTGAATTCACTTCTGAATGGGAAGTGACTTCTGGTTTGTAGACGGACATTGTGATTTCTACATGCAGAGGAGCACGCACCTGAGACAGCTGACATTTTTGGAGCTGTGAACGGGGATATGCTGCAGGCGCCCACGGCCAGTAGAGAGGATGATGGAGAGAACCCCGGGGTGTGGTGAAAGCGGAAAGACAGGGCTTACTGTACCTCTAATGAAGACATCAGAATTTTAACAACGGACTCCAAATCAGTCAGCTTAACAGTGTCCCTGCTCACACGAAGGCTTCATGAAATCGGCGTACGAAACACCGCAGATCAGACGTTCCTGTGCTTAAAATTCAGGGCTTGCTAAGGCCCTTTCACCCACAAACTACATAGAGGGAAACAGTAACTGTGTGAGTTCCAGTGTCTACCTGTAGAACAGAACAGTAAAATATTAAACCTCTGTCGTGCTCTTGACGGGAAGAGTAAGCCACCGTGCCGAGGTGGGCCGGGGGACACACAACAGCCATTTGAAACAAACAGAGGAGACGAGACACATGATCACGTCTTCCCTCTGTGTTACTTAGTATCTTCGACTTAGGAAATCTGGAAGGAACAGTGACGAGCTGTGTAAACTTTGGGGAGTGAAGTCCTGGGCTTTTCACATTCAGAAGAACTTATTTTAGAGCCGACAGATTATTTCATAGTGTCATCTAAGCGTCACAAACAAGCAACATGTATATACTGCAAGTTTATTTCAATCACACAAACGAAGTTAGCGGTAGGAAATGTAAATGAAACAGTACAGTAAAAATAGCAGAGAACCGAAAAATCTAAAAAGGAAGCACACCTAAAGCATGAGAATCCAACATTCATTAGTGTTTCATCTTCAGTTCGGATTGACACGTGATGCTTGCAACTTGTGAACAAACTGTGAAATCACGACGACTACTCTGGAGAGATTTCAGCACCGGCGTTAAGATGTGTACATTCAGTTGGTTTGCAATGGACTGTTGGCCATTTACAGAGCGTATAGGACAGATTTGTCACGGGTCAGATCACAGTGTTGAGGAAAGAAGTGCCTTCCTGTCATCAGAAAGGACCCCCTGAACTGCACTCGGCTTCGGACACCCAGTGAGCACAGAGCACGAACACCGTCGGCAGGACGGGCTCCAAGGAACATCACCTGCTAAGGAAAGTCACCTAAGCTTCTGCTTCCCGTTTTATTTACTGAAATCTCTAACGATGACAAAACTGTCCCGTAGAACAGTAAATGTGTACAGTGATTGGGAAGAACACGTTTAGCGATCCGGACGAACGCACACTGATGGAACGCGCTGTGACCCAGCACTGGCTCTGCCCTGTCACGCAGACATCCTGGGAGAATCAGGCCAAGGCACGAGACACCGAGTGCATACGACAGCTCCTCACTCAGATCCAGCGTGTTGCTCTAGTCTTTTCTCTGACTTTGGACCACTTGTACCCAGTATTCTATCCTACTAGAGACTAAACTTCACCGACAAAATCAAGTGATTTCTCACCAGATTTATAGGGGACGTGAGCGTTTATACCATCCAAGTGTTTGCATAATCAAAAGGACAATAATAAAGATCAAAGTGCCTCCAATTTCTTTTAGAAGACAGGACTTTAGAGGCTTGCTGCAGCTTGAATGCCTTTCCTACTACTGCCTGACGATGAATGGTGGATACAAAACTGTAGATGTGAATTATGATAGCTCATCCATCACAGATTAATCTAAAACTGAAGTCTCTACAGAAACAGGAACTATTTTAACAAGGAAAACAATTCCCTCACTCAAACCTTTTTTGAATGGTAAACTATGCTACCGACAAGCTCTGTCTGACCAACTGAGGTTACAAAATCTAGAAAGCAGATGAAAATGGATTATTTCTTCAAAATTTTAGTAAAACTTCAGATAATCAAAGATTTCAAAGCAAATATGGCACATAACTGAAGCATAAATCAAGATGGAGAGCCTGGAGAATTTGTGATTTCCTAAATTAAAAAAAAAAATCTACCATTGCAACATATAGAATTTCTCCCCTATTTTAATCTTCACGAGTTTCCAGGAGAAGGGCGTGGGTTACATGTGCACGCACATACGTGCACAGCACGTGCACACCCGCGTGGGGGTGAGTGGACCACCTAGGTCCTTCTTCCCACCACCTGAGTCTTGCTCGGTCATGACAAGAGAACCATGCAGAGCCCCTCGCTGGTCCCCTCTGCCACGTGGTGTCTATGACCTCGGTTGCTGTGGACATCGCTACTCCGTGTGTTTCCATGTAACAAAATTCAAAAGCAGCTTCCTGGTCAGGAACATGTACCTGAACACCTGTCCAACTGCAGGGCACCCAGGTAGTAAATAACTGCCAAATTCAGGGATCGAATTTTCGAGTTCCACAGTACGATGTAATCCATGTGAAGCTCAGAATCATGTTTCAGACCATTGGAATTACTCAAGTTAAAATACGAACAGCTGAAGACATGATGTAAAAGATTGAGTACTTGGTTCTGCTAACATATTTACCAACTAAAGTCACAAAATAGTCCTCATTAGTATTCATGCAGGTCGTTGAGAAAACAAAGACAGTGCAGAAATTAACTTTAAAAGAAAAAATGATTCCTTCCTTTCCTCCCACCCCCCTACAGACTCTACAAAAGGTTTTCCCTGGGACCAGGCCTTGAAAAGGCCACTACGTATTAGTGGGACATGCATTACTGTCTGCAATTAAAAAAGCTAATTTTGTGGTGGTTGTAATTACATTATAAAAATGTCCACATGCATAAATCTAAAAAAGGTTGAAAACCTACAGTAAGTCTACAATATATTGTTTTACATTTGACCACTGGTGTGTATTATGTAGGAGTCAGAGATTTGGTAAAGCATTTTAACAATTTAGGAAGGCATCTAAATCTTTAAATTCTGGACGATTTTTATGTTTTAATCTACAAAATTGCATGAAGGCTAACTCGAGAGACTTCCTATCATTCTAAAATTCCTCAAGCCAGACAAATCATTTTTAAGACACTTTCTTATAAATATCACCCTTGGAAAGCACATACAATTCCATTTGTTGCACATTTTAGGATCTTAACCTACACAGGGCTGATCTCCATTCCTCACGGAATATCAAATGTGATAGGAAGACAAACCTGAGAGAAACATTTACAATACAATAGTGTAACTTGCTCAATTCTTCGTCAGCACTCTCTGAAAACAAACTTCTTAAGCCTTTCTCCTCTTTATTTTAGCAATGGATTGTGAAAAACGTGCGATTTTGTCTTGACATGAAAATATTTCAATGCACGGCGATCTTGCCTGATGGGCTTAGTATTTTCTGCATAACTATGAAACAGGAATTCGCATCCAGCTCTTCCATCCTATTGAAAAGGTCAGAAAAAAGCAGCAAACTGGGAGGGAAATAGCTTATCGCCAGAGTAACAGCGTCTGAAGGCTCGCGAGGATGTTGGTTTTTCCTCCTTCTGACTGTTTGTCTCCACTGTCTTCATCACAGCTCACAAATGTAGGGGTTTGTTGTTGTTAACAGCTGTTGTTCGCACGGGTCTTTCTCCTTTCTCCAGACTAAAGTCCTATTCCTCCTCGGCTCGTCTCTCTACGCAGAATTGGACTTGCTCAGTTCTTGCCTGATCGCTGGGCATGAAAAGGAAACGTATCTCAAGTCAATACAACGATGAGTTAAATCAATGAGTGATTCACTCCTAAGAAATCTCAGTGGCTGTCTTCAAACTCCCAGTAATAAAGAGACAAACGGACCCCGAATCTTACACTGCACAGACCTGTGCTTTCTTGACACAAAGACGATACCGATTTATGTATGTGCAGGCGCACACTCACACACACACTTTCTCATTCGCGCTCTCCCTTTCATGTGCAAAATGACAACACGGACTCTGTGGGCTCAGAGTCCACAGAGAAGGCAGCGAGGTGGGACACGAGGCCAGAGATGGGCCCATCCGCCGGGACTTCCATCTGACACTACTCAACCCCTGACACATAGGGACCTCGTTCGTTCCTATTTTCACAAATAACTTCCACCGTAAGAAGGAGAGGGCTCCTCCCTGACATCCTAAGCCAAGTGAAGGGCAGGATACTATGTAAAAGTAATTGTTTTATGCCCTCAAGTAATAAACTGGTTCTTTCTTTATGTGCATTTCCTTAAAAAGGGGTATTCTCAAACATTACAGGGATAGCAAATCTGTTCATATACTCACCATCAATGAGCTCTTCTTTTAGCTTTGTTAGTTCTTTTCTCATTTCATCTAAAATGTCCTAAAATATTAGAGAAATACATCAGGAATACAGAAAAAAAAATTACCACTATATACATTCTTGGTCATACAGAATTTTAAGAATATACAAAGTTTGATGAATGGTCTGTGTTGCCGGAGTCCCTCCCAAACAAGGTTGTCTTAGAGCAGCCTGGGCAATGATTCTATTTTAACAGTCTTCCCAGCCTTTGCTTATTGTAGACGAGCAAAACATGAAACATTAGAATGCTCTGGCATCCAGTGAAAGGTAGGATTCAGGTAATTTCTAGAACAGGAATAGCTCTGCTTTCAACCTTGTCTTCTTGGAGCAGTCTGAAAGATGGCCAGTAATGAAATTTCAAGGAACAGGAGAAGTAAACTAGACGAGCAGATCCTGGCCAATCGGTGATCTGGTTTGAAGTATGGGATTCCTTAGGAATAATACTACAGCTGCCAAACTGTGCTTCTAGGAGTCCGAGACTCCCCTGGAGCGGCCTCACGGGCTGCCCTAATGGGTAGGACGAGGGTGGCTGAGCCCCTGCTGGACCTACACAGTCTGATCCAATGTGGCAGACACAGCCGCACACAGCCACCAAGCACCCGAGACACAGCCAGTATGAAATGAGATGTGTTGCCGGGGGGGTAAAACACACACCAGATTTCAAAGACTTAGCGTGAAGAAAATAACATGTAATAATGAGTAATTTTAAAATAGTGATTACTATTGAAATATTATTTTAGTTATATTAAATTAAATAAAATATATTAAAATGAATTTCACCTATTTCTCTTCATTTAATATGGCTACTAGAAATGTTACAGTACTTGTGTGATCCCTATTTGTATTCTGATTTCATAGTTCTAGATGCTCCTTCCTCCATGAAAACCACTCCACCTTCAAATATTTTGCAAAATCTGTTTTTGTAAGTTCATTTTGAAATAATGGACAACCACCCTACCCCCACCCAAACCTAAAAAAAAATCACTAAGAACAGGGGCTCCTGGGTGGCTCAGTCAGTTGAGCGCCTGACTCTTGATTTTTGGCTTGGGTCATGCTCAGGTCACACTCAGCCTTGTGAGATCGAGCCCTGCGCCCAGCTCCGGGCTGGGAATGGAGCCTGCTTGGGACTCTCTCTCTCCCTCTCCCTCTGCCCCTCCCCGCCCCAAATTACCAAGAACAATGTCACATGCCAACTAAAAGGGCTTTGACAAGGTGATGTAATTTGAAGAATAACACCTCCCCTTTGGATGGATTACTTTCCAATATGTGACCTTCTTTATTACTGCACACCTCAGGTAAAATTAAATCGCTCTATTTAAGATTCATTTTCTTAAAAAGCTTTTCATGTTTAAAATAAGGTTGAAACTATCAATTAGTATAACTCCTCCACTTTACCAATGACGAAACAAGCACAGAAATTATTAGTACAAACTATCAGATATCCTTATTCAAATTATTATTAAAAGCAGCCCTAACAGGAAACCTTTCCTCTCTTCTCCACTATTTCAGATAGCCAAGAATTTACCACGTTTTCAAGCGTGTGCAAGCGTCTACTTTAAAGTGTTTTTCAAGAAAAGAAAGCCATGTTTAATATACAGGAAAATTAGGGCTTGATTATCAATGACCTCAAGCTTCCTTTCCAAACTATATAACTCAACTTAACTTTTCAAATAGCTTTGCAGTATAAAAATTGGATTTATCTGAAATTATTGTTAGTATTTCTCCCTTTAATTCATATTTGACTTTAATTTTGAACTCCTCTGACTGTAACATTCTTGGTCCCTTTTTGAGCCCCCAGACATCTGCTAGCATTTAAACAAAGGAGTGACAGCACAGGGAACACAGGCTTTGAGGAAAGACCTCAGGGCTCTGATCCTGACTCAGCTACTGACCGAGCTGCGGGACTGAGCCATGGAATGAACGCCGCAGAACCTGGGTATAAGCGCTGCCTGACCGGCCCCCCACGAGGGCGAGAAGGCAGCACCGTGCTAGGAGCCCAGCCAGCACCTGGCCCGCACGCCCGCCAGCAGGTCAGTACAAGGCTGCGACGGGAGTGGTGTGGGTCACTGTTCTCAGAGGCCCCCAGGGTGCGGGGCCGGAAGCCCCAGGCAATCCTGCTCGCTGCAACAAACCTGGGTTCAGGTCTGCGAAACTGACCACTGTCTTACTAATGAGGTGTGTACACTGGGCCCTCCCTTTAAGTTTTTTTTAACACTACCAATTTTTTTTTAATTATTTTACCTCTTCTGGGAATAAAATATTTTAAAGCCCCACACATCTCAGCTATCACTCCCTTCCCTTTTCTTGTTTGAGTACCTACGTGTGTAACGCAGAGGTATCCAAAATATGGACAAGATCCTTTCCTTTTTCACCATTCAGGATTCAATACTCTCATTTTTGATTCCTTAATGACTACGGGGCCCTCCCCAACACTACAGATTTATATACTTCTGTAATATTTTCTTAGCATACATTCTTAGAAGTGAAATTGCTGGGTTCAAAGGTAAGATACTTATTTTTAAGGCTTGTGATCTGTTTTCCCAACTGCTTCTAGGAAATGAAAGTATACGAGAGTGCCCGTTTTCCTCACGTTCTTGCCAAAACCAGATTCGCTGGGTCCATTTTTGCCAACGGTAAGCAGAAAGTGCAACCCCATTTTCCTTCTACAATTATACACCACGCACTGACATTTAAAGTTTGTATTATACCGTTAAGTCACCTGCCCCCACTTCTCCACCACCGCTGGAACTTTACGTGAACACACTGACCCAAAAAAAATGAAGATTTGAAAAAAACAGTACAGTAGTCATATCACTGTTTCATTTGCATAAAGACCTAAACTCTATATTCTTTTCTAGTACATTCACCACCTGTCAAATGCCAGCACACCAGACATTTTCCCAGAGATGCCAGCGCATGTGGAGGGAAAGTGCCTACCTGCTTCAGCCTGTCGTAGTCTAGCCCCTCCGTCTGGACGCCGTTGGCACTGGGCTGTGATGAAGGTGCAGATTTTGGTCTGTACAAATGGAATTTCCAGGACAGGTAAACAACACTTGGGATGTTTAAGAGTTTACAAAAAATTGCAAATTTACCAACCTGACACCAGGTTTCAGTACTTAAAACACAGATGTTAAAAAAAGTTAATTGTCAAAGTTGCAGGACTGATTAGAACAGAAAACAAAGTATTTTTCACTTTGCTCAATGTTTCCAGTTACTTGTAAACAAATCAGACAACGGTTGACGGGATGAAGACGCTTCTTCAGTAAAGGGCAGAGGAGCGCATTCTCTGCGCAGGAGGCGGGAAACGGGATCGTGTGCAGCACGCTCACGGAGACAGACACACCAGACCAGCTGCGACACTGAGGCCTGAGGAGTGCAATCTCGTTCTTCTGAAAGTGTGCAGAGCCTACTAAACATCTGGCAGACCAACCACTGAGATGCATCAGTTTACAAATTCAATGCCTTGGTTTATGGGATAAAACCATTTGAGTAATAAGCATGATTCATTCTATGTGTTTCATGCCATTTCAAGCATCCAAATAAATAAGAATGCTGGGGAAATAATTAAAAGTATATTCATATCCACTTGGCTATGTGGCTGTTTCCAGACTACTTTTTATGGAGATGCCATCTGAATGATGTGTTTACAACTACTTTTGTTTAAAAAAAAAAAAAAATAGGGCTCCTGGGTGGCTCAGTCAGTTAAGCGTCTGACTCTCGGTTTCAGCTGGGGTTGTGATCTCAGGGTCGCGGGACTAAGCCCCATGTGGGGTTCCACACTCAGTGGGGAGTCTGCTTGGGATTCTCTCTCTCCCTTTCCTTCTGCCCCTCCCCCACATGCACATGCTCTCTCTCTCTCTAATAAATCTTTAAAAAAAAAGGGGGGGGCGCCTGGGTGGCTCAGTCGTTAAGCATCTGCCTTCAGCTCAGGTCATGATCCCGGGGTTCTGGGATCGAGCCCCACATTGGGCTCCCTGCTCAGCGGGAGGCCTGCTTCTCCCTCTCCACTCCCTCTGCTTGTGTTCCCTCTCTGTCTCTGTGTCAAATAAATAAAATCTTTTAAAAAAAAAAGGAAATGCCACACAGAAGCAGTTTGCCAATTATCACTACACATTCAGAAGTTTAGCTTCTATTAAAAATTCTACACGAAGAAATAAGTCTTAGAAATTAGGTATATTTTAAGCAAAAGTTTCAATATCAAATAAACCAATCATGGCTCCTCTCCAATTCCGGCAAGTAGAGGAAATCCCAGGGGAAAATCTAGAGTCTTAACTGGGCACTCCTCTATGTTCTGGTTCAGTATGGTAAGTGGCTACGCTTTGAGGACCACAACTCGGTGCAGATGAAAACTATCAGCTGAGTCACGTGTCTTCAGGTCTGCAGAGGACCAATACCACAAATCTGAACCAAAACTCGGTATGCACAGTAACTTTTCCAAGTTATGATTTCATAACTCTTACAAGGCATATTATACTCCAAACCCACAGGCATTGTTCATGAAAATGAAATACTGAGCTAATCTGCTTTCATATCAAACACACGGCTGCTTAACAAGTTGTCATGTAAAGCAAGTCAACCAGTTTTATTTTATGAGATCTCTGCTGCCCTGCTTGGATGAACCAGGGAAAACAACTTTCAGAAAATTTCACTCAGTAAGCCCTGAGCTAGGCACGGGGGAGCGGTGGGGGAGACTTACTTATAGGACATATCTCCTTTCCTCTAGAGAGGATACACCTTCTCCCTTTGCTGAGGGACTAGCTGCATCCCCCAGTCACGGAGGAGGTACTGAGAGCCACGGCAGACAAGGCAGGTGTTCTGGGCACAGGCCGATCTGGGGAACACCCCTGACGGTCCACACACTGCGTTTTATTTACCCACGCTCTCTGTTCCTGCTCGCCAGACTGACACTCCTAATTACTCTGCTTTTCTTTCACTTTTCACATTTAAGTGGTACAACCAGTGAATGCTTTTCTCCCAGGTTATAAAATGAACATCCCCAACATTCACATGAGCAACTGTAGTCCACTAATTAACTGGCAGTATGTTATGAGTATATCCATACTTATTAAACAATACAACACATTATTGTTACATAATAAACGATAGAGGAAACATGCAATTAAGAAATTTTAATTCATGCTAACATGCAATCCACCACCACCACCACCACCACCATGATAATTAACTAAAGGGGGGAACTTTTCATACTGAAGGAAAGAAGTAATCACCACTTTTTTAAAAAAGGTTTATCAACATTATTCTATCACGGGGCCCTACGTGGGAAAGCAGCAAGAGAACTGAGAAGATTAACAACAGAAAATCTCATTAAATGCTATTTTCCTATGTACTAGCAAACTTTCCAAGTAAGTCTTTTGGTGACGATTAAACCACCTGGAAAAAAAAGCAGGAAAAATGATTTCATGCGTGTAATATAAACATTTTATGCAGATTTAACTGGCTGACAAACTTATCAAATATTTTAATCATCAATGGCATGAAAGTAATTTGGCCAAATACAGTCTGCACAACCCCTGACTCACAGACACCCATCCATATACTATTTAAGTCATGCTCCCAGGAGACTTGATGTGTATATTTAAAAATAGGTGTGTATGATAACATGGGCAAACCTCGGTGATTTGTAATCTATGAGTTTTCACCATAATCGATAACAAAGTATGAGGCCTTCCCAGAGATTTCTGTGTTACCTCTCAACAGCTGCCTATCAAATAACTACCACAATATTTAAAGTCCCTGTTCCTCCAAATCAGTTCTAAATATAAGCTTAAACACTTTAGGACTTTTAAAAAATTGTCAATTTCTTTAATTAAGAAGGAAATACATGGTTCTTAATTAAAAAATGGTATTAACAGGACTCATTCTGGAAAACCGCGTGCCCAGGACGGGAGACATCAGATTGGTATAAAGGCACACAATCTGCTGCAACGGACGGACGAGACATGGATGTTCGTCCAGGAATCCACTTTTCACAAGTGTGGCTGTAATGTAGTCCTGTGTTCCACTAACACACAGTACAAATCTTCTCTACCTTTTAAAGGCTTTGTCTCAAGCTTCTATGGAGAAAAGCCTTCAGAAGAAAATGCAAAAGCTGCCAAGTGGCTGAAGACACAAGGGGCCTCAGACCCCACTCTGGCCTTACTGTTGTGTCCACCACTCACAGGTACCCTGATCCGACTAGAAAATGAAGGCAGGGGAATGAACCCTACTAACTTTTCTACTTAAAATCTTAGTGTTTTTTCAAAATTGCTCTAAATAAAGCTAATATGAAAGATTCGATCTTCCTTAAGTATCTCCCCTTGTGGTGATTACCAATCCAGGTAGAAAAAGCTCAGCCCTATCCTCAACATGTTATTTCGAAGTCTCAAACCACAAAGTCACATCAGGATGATACCTGTGTAATGAATCATAGGACCTGTTGTCAAAAACAATCTGATTTTTCCTTGGAGAATCCCGTCTATGAAGGGGAAAAACCATTTAAAGGGAAATACAATAGAGCTTTTAAAAAATAATTCGCACTATGTTCCTGTTTTATAGATTTGTAGTCACAGCAAAACAATGAAAGGAGTCCATTAACCTTAAAACAATAGTTTTTTTCCCCAATACAAAAGAAGATACTTGGACACTAATTCTGGTTAGGTAAGATACTCATTTGACAATTACAGAGAACAAAAAAGAAATCGTGGCGCAATGACCACTTTTAGAGATTGCAGACATAGTAAAAGCTGCTACACAAAGTATCAATAAGTATCAAAAATCACTGTAGTTTGAAGTACGCAAAATTAACTCTTCTCGGAAAGAAAGCATGGAAACTCTTTTTCTACCTTGAATATCAGATCTGTGAGCTCTTACTGAAAACCATATGAGAACTCACAAATTTTCCAATGGGACATTCTAATCATAGTTTCAGGTAATTTTAATGACATTTTTGCTTTTACCCTACTATCTGGCATCTTCACTTAATAAATAGAGCATAACGCAGTACACCTTGTGTGTATGACAGGGTACTGATCCATCCTATCACTAACATAACCTCGACATGGACATTCCTAAGAGAAAGGGGTACTTTCACCACCACAAAAGGATGAGGTGCACTTCAATAAAAACAAAACATCAAGTGGCCGTATTAATACACTGGCTCTTAGCAGGAACAGGGGAGAAAACTTGGGACGAAAGCCATCCAGTTTAGTCCTTCCAACATACTTTTAAAATCTTTCATGGCTTAAAACTGCTTGGGGTGAAATTTTAAGACACGTATCACTGGCTGGATCAAATCTATCAAAAGGTATATGAGGGGCGCCTGGGTGGCTCAGGCGTTAAGCGTGTGCCTTCGGCTCAGGACATGATCCCAGGGTCCTGGGATCGAGCCCCGCATCAGGCTCCCCGCTCAGCGGGAAAGCCTGCTTCTCCCTCTCCCGCTCCCCCTGCTTGTGTTCCCTCTCTCGCTGTGTCTCTGTCAAATAAATAAATAAAATCTTTAAAAAAAAAAAAAAAAAAGGTATATGAGTGGTCAGGAAACGACAGCGTTTCCAAATTTCCATTTCAGGAAAGGAGAAGAAAACCACCCACCAGAGCAGAACACCATAACGATACACTACTAGATAATAAGAACCAATATTTGGTTAATCTACAGAAAAGACTTTTTTAAAGGGTGACTTTCAGAACACTTATTAAACTTCCTTTAGAAGTGTGAAAAATCGGGCGCCTGGGTGGCTCAGATGGTTAAACGTCTGCCTTCGGCTCAGGTCATGATCCCAGGGTCCTGGGATCGAGTCCCGCATCAGGCTCCCTGCTCCTTGGGAGCCTGCTTCTCCCTCTGCTTCTCTCTCTCTCTCCCTCTGTCTCTCATGAATAAATAAATAAAATCTTTAAAAAAAAAAAAAAGTGTGAAAAATCTTTCAAAGACTATTTTTTAAATGAATCCAAACACACCAAGGAACTTTTATTCCATTTGGAGAACCTATTTCATGTCCCTCCATGGACTTAGGGTTCACTTCAGGCTCACTATGGAACCCGTACCAGGGGGGTAGGGATGAAGAGTAGACACAAAGAGAAAAATTCTTCCCGTCCCATTTATGTCTTCAAAAGATATATGGGACATCACTGTTTTGTTCTCTGATATGTACTTAATAAATCAGGCTTCAAAATGTGCTCGTGGAGAAAATCTATAAAAACTACCAGAGACGCATTGGAAGGCCACATCAATCAGGTATCTGATAAACACAAATGTGCAATTTTTCTACTCTATTGAAAAAACATGTCCACCAAAAGCAATTCCTGCATTTTCTCCTAAAATCAAATACATTTATCTTATAGTCACTGAGAAACTAAAAGCTTCTATACAGTCAAAAAGGCATTGAAGAACTTAAATAACTGTGTCATCACTGAATCTTTCCTACCAGAACAAAGAACCACATAAAAACAAATCCAAATTTAGATTTAGGCTAACACTGAACAGATTTGTGGCAATGTGAGGTCTGTCCTTGTATTTTTCTATTAGAGTCAAGTTTGCTTTTGAAGAGGTAAAAATAGAGCAAACAACTCAGAAAGAAAAGGCCAAAAACTTTTTAGTCTCTAAACACACTTTTTCTGGAAAAAAATATAAGTCCTTTAAACTGTCTCATAAATCCAGAAAAAGTTTCATCTATGTACAAGACCTGAGATACAAATTTAGTATGACAATAAAATATGCCTAAGAAACGCTGAATTTGTTAAGACCATGCCTCATGGCCACTGGTAGAAAATTCACTAGCCTTGTTTCTGGGCACTATCTTTTCTAAGTTGATTATAACTTCAAGTTTCAACTGAGTCAGAAATCAATCTTTCTACTTCACAAATTCAAAACTTCAGGTTTTATTTTGCTCTCTCTTAAACACTGCAGGCATTTCTCTCCAGCTACTTTTCAATTTAAAATATAAAAGTTTCTTTTAAAAACGACATTTACAAAATGAAGGATGTCATTGAGACTACTGGGGAAATGTGAATATGTTACATAATACCGTTGTTCAACGTTAAATTTCTTGAGAGCGACAATGGTACTGGGGTTACACAGGAGGATATCCCAGTTCTTAAGGAAAATGCTGAAGGATTTGCAAACTGCTCTCCAACTCTCCAGAAGAACATGTGTGGAAGGGAGGCGGGCAGAACTGGTATCTGGGGAATCTGGGTTCCTCCACTATGCTCTCAACTTTTCTGTAGTTTTGAATTTTTCAAAATAAAGAAATCGGGAGGAATAAAAGCTATCTTAAAATTTCAGACAACCTGACTCACAGTAAGCATCCAATCACTAGGAAAAATACGATGGTGCTCAGTGGTCTCCAGCAGAAGGATATTTCATCTGCTCCTTTGTACTATTTCAAATCTACCACTACAGTTTGGAGAGATTAATTTCTTTTTAGATACATATGTAGCATAAAAGTCAGAAAACAAACATACCTGGAAATAACAGGTGACTTGCTGCCGTTCATCGTATTTGTTCTTTCCCAGGGTTTTCTGGTAGGTTCTTTAAAAATAAGGAATGTAAGTTACAAAGTATCCTATGTGCTCCCAGAGTTACTTATTGTAAAACAAGTAACGAAATACTAAGTAACATTATACATGTTTATGTAAGTAATACAAATGAAAAATTTTTCATTACAATTCTGAACTTTAAAATCTGTAAGGATTCTAATTTGTGCAACTTCAGACTTTAAAATGAGAAGACATTAGTAAGCAACTGTGACAAGCCCCCTGGGAAAGCCACAGGCCGCGAAGTCTCTGACACCGGAAGCCCACACACCAGGAGATGCACTGCCTCTCTAGCAAGGCAGGGCTCCCTATTAGAGATGGAGTTCTCAGCTTGGGGTCTGCGTAAGCTTCAGGGAGCACATGAAATTATGAGCAAATCTGTATAAAAATAGTCATCCCCGGGGTGTGGGGGCATGGGCTGGGGGCGGATTCATAGTTCTTTTCAACTTGTAAACGGTTCTGTGACCCTAACTTACAGTGGAGTTCTACAGTATCAGCATATATATTAATTTTGGCTTCTGGAAGAAAATAAAGCTATTACAATAAGTACTTCATAAACCAGAGAATTTTTAACGAAAGTAATATCAACAAACTGATCTGAGTCCTATTTAGAGGAAAAACAATTCACAAAGTCACAATATTAACCACAATACAGCCATCAAAATATTGAATAATCACCATTCAATAATGAGAATGTGAGACTTTTTTTTTCTTTTTTGGCAAATGGGTTACAATCACCAAAACAGAAGTTTTTTTTAGAATTTCTAAACAGTGGACTTCTAGAGGTCACTGGTAGTCTCCAACTTAAAATGGGTAGGAATTAACATGGACATTTCTCTATAAACACTTCTCATGGGCCATTCTAGATATTAATTCATCGAAATTACCAACTTTATTATTCACGTCACTTTATTTCAAATTAGATAAAAAGCTGAACAGGTAGACCAGCTCTTCACTTTAGTCAACACACGAAATGGCACCTCACATCCTCGTCACAGACGCCATGGTCAGGTGCCTCCAGGGAGAGGCAGTTTGTCCACATTCTACGGAATATACTCGCAACCTAGAGTCCTCAATATCAGAAACCTTGCTGAGTTCAACACCACTTCCCCAAAGCTGTAACGAGGCTTCTTTGCTCCTTACAAATGAGAAGGTTTATTTCCCTGATTATCAGTATTACCCCAGTGCATGGCTAAAAGGATAGCGCTCTCCATTTGAGAATGCTTTGACATGGACATCGGTGCTAACTACCTGCTCACCTAAACCTCACCTTTAAGAATCCAGGACTAAAAGGACTTCCCTTTCATCTGATGATGTATGTCTCTGAGCTCTAGTGAAGAACCTCAAATCATCAACAGCAGTACACATGGAATGTGTAAAAATTATGATTTTCAAAGAAAGAATCATCAGGAAAAAACCTTTGGGTTTTAATGGATCGCTCCGTCTCACAAAGGCAGAGGAAAAGCAAGTCACTGCTTTAAAGTGTGAACAAAAACTTTAACGCTTTCATCACCAGGCAGGCACCTGGTCCCAACATGGGTAAATGGGGCATTTTTTAATTGAGGAGTATTAGTATTTCGAGAAGGTTCATAACGGTTAAAATAGACCTCCTGAACTTACCGGGTGTACTTGTCAATGAGGCCTTAGAAATTACGGGCTCCGAATCTTCCTAAATAGACAGAAACACTTATTAATCACATGGCACCCGCCAGAAACCTGGAGCAGAGACTCAGGGTCTCACATGCTTCCATGTCCAACATGCCTGCTGCGTTTCCCACTGTGTCCTTCAACAGCCTCCTCTCCCTTCCATTGCAGCCCAGACCTGCCTCCTCTGTCCCCCACAGGCCCCCATGCTCCTGAGCACACCAGCCACTGCTACTGAGCCGGACGTTAGCGAGAGGCGGGAGGAAGGGTGCCGAAGCCCAAATGCAGTGAGGAAGCAACGGCGGGCACACAGCTAATAACCATGGGGCTCCTAGGGGATTAGTCTAATTCCTTCCTTCTCAACGCAAGGAAATGGAGACCCTAAGAGATTCAGGATATCGAGTGAAGGTACGGCATTCGCTCCACAACTGCGCGCAGTGCCTTCCCCGCGGGTCCCCACGCCTCGCCTGTCGCACACAGAAGGCTATGAAAACGTGATACATCACGCTCGAAACAAGCCATTTCTAATACGTGAAGAGCTGAAATAAGGAATTCTAAGTTCCACCTAATCTCGGATATCGCTTCCTGAATGAGCTACGCCTGGCTTTCCTGTTTCCAGTTGCAGTAGACTCTCTTTATGAACTTACGTTTTTGTCCTCTTTTTGTTCTGTTTCTATTGTTGATCCCTTTTCAGCAATTCTTCTCCTAGAAAGAAGGTAAATCAGATTTTTTAAAGATTCATCTCTTAGTATAAAATCTACTCTGAAAGGGAAGAACTGCATCTAGTTAAACTGTACTTGAATAAAATGAACCCAATCCTCTCAATTCCGAACGTGTTCAACATAGTTTCTCACTCACCTCCTGGCCAGCAGGGCACTCATTTCTTCCATTAGCCCACTGCCTCCTAAAGGAAGGGGTCCATTCCCACGACCCGTGTCTGACTTCGATGAGGCCGGGTTCACACCAATGGTAGTCCCTCCACTTGGTAAAGGGGCATCCTCCGTCTTAATGAGAATATAGACAGATAGTAAACTCCTGTGTTTAGGATGTTAATTTCAACAAAAACATCCAAATATTATTTTTTAAATCTTTTTAAGAACCAATGGAGTGATTGGCACTAACTTTAATCATTGGAAATTCCATCCAAGTTTACATCAACAATAATGGAATACAACATTACCACATGCCTCCGCCCTGTTCCATACACTGAGAAGGACACGTCATTCTGGTGGCAAAAAAATGCATATTCTGCCAAAACACGCATAATCCAAAACTAATCTTGAGAAAACTATCGGGGAAACCACACTGAAGGGCGAGCTCGCCAAAGTCAACCTCACGTATGAAACAGTGAGGAACTGTCCCAGTTTTATGGCAAACTCGGGATGTCACAGCTAAACGTACTGAGTGATCTTGGGCTAGAAAACTGTCGTAAAGGACAGTGTTGGACAATATGTGACATCTGAATACATTTGTAGATTAGAAGAGTCCATCAATTAAACTTCCCAGTCCTGATCATTCTCCAGTGGGCATGTAGGTGAGCGTCCCTGTTCCTACAGACCACACGCCCCAGTGTTCAGGGAGACGGGAGACGCGGTGTGTCTGACTCACTCTCAGTTCAGACAAAAAGGGAGAGTGTGTGTGTCCCGCAGAAGGAAACACATGCACACAGAGAAGAATTGAGCAAATACGGTGAAATGTGAAGTGGTGAGTCTGGGTGCTGGGTTCAGAGAAGCTAGATTCTCTGTCGAGTATAAATTGTCTCAAATTTTTTAATCAGTGAAGTAACACAGGGTTCATGAAATGAGAAGACAGTAAATCCGCTACCCCAGCTACTGAGGGAGAATAGGCACAAGCAGAAAGCACAGAGACGCGGAGGTGCACTTACCCGGGACACTTTCCTCAGTTTCGCTCCGGCGATGGCAGCCGCAAGTCCAGTCAAAGGGCGATTGTCTTCAGACGCGGATCCGGCAAAAAATCCAGATGCAGGGAGCGGGGGAGCGGGAGGAGGAGGGGGAGGGGGGGGCGCTTGATTAGGAAGAGGGGGCGGAGGAGGCGGGGGCGGAGGCCCCGAGGCGGGGAGCGGAGGGGGGGGCGGAGGCCCCGGGTGGGGGGGCAGCGCTGCTGGAGCCGGGGTGGGGAGCGGAGGGGGGGGCGGAGGGGCAGGTGGTCCCAAGACAATGCCTGAGAGAAAGAGATGTTAAATAAGACCGTCAACAACAGAGCCGCGGGCGCGATCTTGTGGAAAGGGATGCAGGATGCCATGCTAAATTAAGTGGCCTCAGACATTTACTACCTATTAATGAGTTCCATTTAGCATAACGTTTAAAGTCTAGATTGGTGTTCAAAAGATACCAAAATGCAAAGCAAAGTATCTAACATCTTACTTCAGTGTTAGAGCTTTATTAACAGAACTGTGCCACAGTCACCTAGTTACATCTTTGGGGGTTCATGGGGCCGTTTAAGGGCTTATAAAATCTGTGATGGAGGCAGCGCCCCTGAAGAAGCAAGCCCGTGTGTGTGACCGCAGTTAGAGCTGTTGGAAGTAACAGACCCCCAAGAGTCTGTGTGAACCTGTAAAGGTTGAGACTCTTAAGCCTACCATAGTGAAGACCGGTATTTAGGCGCTGACAGATGGCCGCAGTGGCTGGACTGAGAACAGGAGGGAGGGGCGGGTCCCCAGGTCAGCATCTTAAAAAATGTTCTACCTTTAACTCCAATGTGTACAGAATCACTGAAGTAAAGGAATCTACTAGAACAAAGTACAACCTGAAAGTAACTACCAGAAATAATTAAACGATACAGAACTTGAAGTTCCTTTTAGTCTAGAAGACAGGGGTAAGAGAGAAATGTCTCCAAATCCTGTAAAATCACAAAGAGAGTGAACGAGAACTTAGTATTAGAAGACCGAGCTAGCAGGCACTCTCCCTCCTTTAAGTCTTTTAAAGGGGTATTTTAGGACAAAAAGATGTTATTTGCACACTGAGGGGTAATTTTTTGAAACTGAAACACCAGCAGCTCTTAGAAGAACACAGAGCAACGGACTGCCTCCCTCCCTCTGGCTGTGGGCTTGTAAGGGTACAGCAGGTGGGTCACGGAACCTTGTCAGGCTCACGGTGCCCCCTTGTCCGGCATTACCGTCACGTGACACGAGTCTGCACATACTAGAATTCTGACTCTGTTTAAGCAAAATCGATGCATCAACAGGAAAAACATAGACACAGCAATAACAGGTCTTATTACTTATCTTAAGAACAAAGATTTTTTTTTTAAAGAAGGGTATATAATTAAATCCAGGCTATGACACCGTTTCTTTCTACGTTCAAATTAGTTGTCATATTCCCTCCTGTAATTCTTGCTAAATCCTATCTTTGAAAAAAAGTGTTGCCAAGTGTCTTCTTATTCACTTATGGAACCAGGTCCTTCTCTACTTAGAAATAATCCAAACTTAGACGATTACATCCTCCCTCCCGTTACCATGACGGCCAGTCGGGGCGAGGGGAGGCAGTGGGGGGGATAACTGTGGAGGATGCTTCTTCTCTTCCAACTATCCCTTCAGGCCACTACTTCTTGTACTCCTGGAGCGCGGAATCCCCTGGGGCATACATCAGGCCTGCAACACTCCCCACCCCTCGTGCAAAGGAGGGCTGCTCCTCAGGATTTGGGGTGTACCTAGTCCAATGTGGGAAGCCCAATACAGGAGAGGCCAATATGTAATAGGGCTCAAGAATCAGAACTGTTCAGGAGGAGACTCGAGGATGACACATCTCATGACTTCAGTTGGGCACCAAATAGAATCTCTCAACTTCCCACAAAGTAAAGGAAGACAAGTTAGGCAGGCCATGTATTTATCGTGTAGAGAAATGTGTCAAGTAACGTTTTCCTAGTGGAGATTTACAGGGAATGTGTTGCGGAGGCCCTCAAATACCGAACACCCCTCCGGCTACGATACCGCGGAAGACACCGCGGAAGACACGAAAATCCAAAGCAGTGCGGACACTCCCCACCTTGATCCTCCGACTGCCCTTAATCCAGCAGAAAGAGCCTCACTCATCTTGGACTTGTTTAAGTTACACAGAGTTGGGCACAGTGACACAGGGCTGTTCACCTACCAGAACCACCCTCCCCGTGCCTCTAGGCAGTGACCGCCGCGGATACACCACGTTTCCAGGGTGCGCTGTCAGTAGCAACAACGGAATCCTTACCCTGTTGGGCTGGAGTCTCGGCCGGCTGAGAGGCTGCCTGCAAGCCTGGCTCAGAAGCAGAGGAGTCCCCCAGCACAGAGTTTAGAGGAGTCTCCGCAGAGGCAGGGGCAGCTGCAGAGGGAGAAGGGAGAACACTAGGCTTGGATGAGGGAGTTGAGGCAAGAGGGGTGCTTGGAGGAGGAGAGGCTTGCGATCCACAGTGTGAGCGCGGTGCGAGGGAAGGCAGCGGAGGTGGAGGCGGCGGCGCTGCTGGCCCTGAGGTAGGCGGTGGGGACACCGGACACGGGACAGAGTCAAGCGGCCCATTGGGTGCTGCTGGTGACGGAGGCATTGGGGGCACAGGAGAAGAGACACAAACAGGAAGGACAGGCCTCGGACCGGTCGCTTTGCCTGGGGGGCTGCTAATCATTACTGGAGGAGACGGAGGGAGGGGCGCGACAGTGGAAGTAGACCAGGCACAGGGCTTCGTAGCTGGAGGCTGAGAAGAGGGTGTGTTCGCAGGAGAAGGAGGCCGAGAGGTTTTGTTCAGAGGACGAGGAACTGTAGCGTAATGGGGAAGAACGGGGTGGAAGGCTGAACCTACAGATGCAGCAAAACGTGTCGCTGAGTGTCGAAGTGGTGGTGTAGGGGGTGTGGAAGGAGGTGGCAAAGCGGTCACTACAGCAGAGTCAGGAGTGGCCTCCGACACTGGAGCTGAGATGACTTTAGCATAGGATGGAGGAGGTGCCGAAGGAGGCTGGCAACTGGCATACTCAGGAAGTGGCGCGCTATACGGGGAGCTGTCGGAGGATGGAGCTGCACAGAAGGTGGGGAGCAGCAAGGACAGGATAAAAAAGGAGAGAGAAAAAGGGAGCTAGTAAAGCGACAAAACCAGCATTCAGACAAAATGTACACATGTAGACCACAGTTCGTACCCACGAACTAAGCACGTGTGCAAGAACTGATCTCACCCGACAACGTGTGACCTTGTTCGTGCATTTTGAGACCCAGAGGAGGAAGAACTGTTTTCTTTTTAGCTGATAAGCACACTGATAAATTAAATGGCTTAGCTTATCCTTTGCAAGAACAAGACTGTATCTTGATTCTCATTATTTAGCCCACTAAAAGGACATTAAAATTACATGAATAGGACCACAAACAGAAGAATACATCTGCTGGTCTTTTAAGAACAACAAATAGCGAAACTGGTAAAAAGTTTTATAAAGGGCTAGGAACCCCCTATTCGATACTTATTTGTGGGTAAGTGTTGTTCTGCTGGCTATCACCCCAGAAAATAATTAGGCAGTTAAAAACAAATTATTGCAAACAACAAACCAATCGACCACACTGAGAACCATACTGAGACCTTTGATATAGGCCATATGGAATAGAAAAGTTTCTTAAATCCTATTCCAATAAATGTCAATTTTAACGTATGTCTCAAACTTTCAGTTTTCTCTTAACCCTTATGTCTTTCAATAAATTCCACCAGACTTGGAAATTTTCACTAAAAGTTTGCAATACTGGGACATCCATAAAATACTAGTCAGTTGTAGAGAGGGTATTTTCCTCCTCGGACAACTCTAGAGTGCCGTCAAGCACACTTCTTGAATCCTATAGGACTCAGGACAGTTTAAGCAGCCTCCGAAGAATCATATATTCCTAGTTCACCCGATATAAAACATTTCCCATAAAAAGACACTTGCACTTTACAGCCAATTTACAGCGGGTCAGAAGAATTAGAAAGCCAGACCACACAGAGCTTTCCTAAGTCTCCAAGCAGTAAGTGCCACACAGAGAGGACTAAGAACTGGCAAAGTAGCAAGTGCTGCCCGTTTGCCCTGTCCGCCCGTCTATCCTGCCTGCCTGCCCCCACCCCGTCCTGCCTGCCCCCCCCGCCCCCTCCCTCAGACCCGACCCCCGCCGCCCCCACCCCCGCCCCCGCGGCAGAACGAGGCGCGCACTTCTTACCAGCCGACAGCCTGCGCTCCCGCTCGCGCTCCCACTCCAGCTGCTCCTGCCGCTCCCGCTGCTCCCGCTGCTCCTGCCGCTCGCGGTCAAGTCGCTCCAGCCGCTCGCGCTCCAGCCGGTCCTGCCGCTCGCGCTCCCGCTGCTCCCGCTCGCGGTCCAGCTGCTCCTGCTCCAGGCGCTCCCGCTCCAGGCGCTCCCGCTCCACGCGCTCCCGCTCCACGCGCTCCACGCGCTCGCGCTCCCGCTCCACGCGCTCCACGCGCTCCCGCTCCACGCGTTCCAGGCGCTCCCGCTCCACGCGCTCCCCGCGCTCCCCGCGCTCCAGCTCCTTCTGTCGCTGCTGCTCTTGCAGCTGCCTGAAATTTAAATACTGAAAAAATCAGAACTGTGCAGCAAGGGCCACTCACCCAGTCCCTGAGATGAACCTCTGCGCGCCTCGGTCGTGAAACAGATACAAAGCGGCCGGATCCCGCAACCCACATCTGCCAGTGAAGAAACAGGGGACACACATGATGGCGACGTAGCCAGACCATCTGCACAGGACACTGGCGTCTCACTCCACTCTGCACTGTTCATGGGGGAAGTGCTACAATAAATGAAGGCCACGTCCTTGTGTCAGATGCTCCTCTGAGGAAACACCATGGCTGGCCACAGCCGAAGCTTGACAGCAGTGGGCATCATTTCCTTTCGAGTCCTGTCCCTACTGCAGCTGAAGGATCACTACCGGCAGGCCGGCCAGGGGAAAAGCTACCGCATCCTGAGATTCTGGATACATGGCTCCAAACTGTGCTCAGGCACGGGGGCTGGGCTCCCCAGCAGCCCAACAGATGGGAATTCCCTTTCTCCTCTCCAACACCGAACGCGATCACCGTTTTCAATGGCGGCAGCGGAGAGCCTGCTCCCAGACAGACGACCTGCCCCCTGCCCTCTCAGAGCGCACCGTGAGACATGGCCGCACATGCTCTCCCACCGGCTTGCTCGGGACAGATCATATTCCCTACTCACTTGAAGAGCTCCTTTCTCTATCAGAGGTAATAACCCTTTGTCACAAACGCTGGTCGTAATGTACTTTTAACTTTTAGTATGGCTTTTTAGATGCCTTTGATTTTTAAAGTTTCATAAAACCGTAATGTGTTAACTTTGTTAAAGTTGTGATCTGGCTTGTAACTTTTACACAGAAAGTCTAGCGCTGGTATTCCTCTACGTGATCTGCCTTTGCGATCTTTCTTGGCCCCTTCTCACAACAAGGTTATATGATTACATGTTTTTTACAACAAAATCCTTAGTTCATATGAAATTCATCTTGGGTTTGGGATGTGTGGTACTGAGTGAGCTACGTCACAGCACCATTTAGAGTCGCTCATGGCCCTGATTTAGGATGTCACCTTTATGTGTGTTAACGGTTTCCAAAATTCCAGAATGTTTCGGTTGCTGGATCTGTTTGTTTAGTACAGCACCAGTACCTTGATACTTTGACATCTGAAATAAATATCTAGTAGGGTGCAACTATCCTCATCACTCTTCTTTTTGACTTTTTCTAGATGATTCTCAGATACTTAGCTTCTTCTGGGTAATTTTCAGGATCACTTTGTTAAATTTACCCCTTCTGCCAAGACCTATCCTTCTCAATCCTATTTAACACTTTATTAAATTTGAAGATCAATGAGAAAAACACTGTCTTTTAATCTCCTTGTCTAAGAATGTATGGAATGTCTCAGTATTTATGCAATTAAATTAAAAATCTCCTTTCACTCTAGGACTTCAAATGCTGTGATTATATTCAAACCTAAAGAGGCCCAATGTATATGGCTCTGAAACATACAGTTTGCTTTTAACGTCCATACATGTATGTAACAGAGCAAGCAAATGTCTCCAAGTACCCACTCGGACCTAAACGACAGTCTTGCTATAAAAGTTAACTCTCCCCAAAATAAAAAACCGCCCCATGTTACACATAACATATTTCATAGCATTGTGGGTAAGATTAAATGAAGCAATGCCTTAAAAATCTCTTTAAAAAGTCCCTGGGGCATAAGAACACTCAACTAATGTGAGCTACAGTCAGGAATTTCACATGAGGACTTTTCTTGGACTGGCTAATAAACCGCTGGGTCCCCGGAGAGGCAGACCTAAATGACAGAGCGTGGATGCCAGGCTTTGTCCCTCCCAGCACCACCAAGAAGCCACTAAGATTTCTCCAGAAATCTCTCCCTTTCATGTTTCCTAAACAGACTATAAGAAGGAAAAAGCCCACTTGACAAGTGAGCCAATCCCCCTTGTCTCAGAAAAGCAGGAAGGCTCTCTCCAGGCCTATCCCCGTCCTTAACGGTACCTGCATGGGGGGGGGGGGGGCGTGCCTAGAGCGGTACTCAGTGCGAGCAGTCGCTGGGTCACACACCGGCTACAGAGTTTTAGGGCAACGCTGCCAGACAAAGCACCAGCTACCACAGCTTCTGAGGGGTAACAATATTGCTTCAGAAGTGAAGGCAAAAATTTGGGGTATTCACAAGGATGTTCTCAATAATAAATCAGAGAAGAGTTGGTTCTTTTTGTAATGACCTCTAATAAATGAACTCGGCTGGGACTTACATTTAAAACACACCATATGTGTCAAAAAATACGAGCATACTCTATAATGTGATACTCGAAACAATCTACGTGGTCCAAAAGGGAAAGATACACCAGAACTATTCTAATTAAAATATACCTCTGTCCAGAAGCTAAGGGAAACTGTTCAGCTTCGGAGTACGACAGCTCACCAAGAAACCTAGGATGAAAAGATACAAGTTCCTAGGCCCTTTTCCATATCCATGCCACCTCTTTCGTTTTATTCTTATCAACATAATACAGGTACATAAAGCTTATTAACAAAAACCAACAGTTCATTGCTCTAACCTTCCCACCCCTGTTTCCAATTACTGTCAACTCTTTGGACATTTCTTTTAACTTCAGATACTGCCTACAAGTATCTCCTATGGCTCCCTCACCACACCCAAGCCTCTCCCAGCACAATCACAGGAGAATACACATTCCTGGTGTAATCAATATTCAGAGTCTACATCATTAATACAGCTACACCATATAGTATCCTAAGACTACACTGCATTTCTCTTCTTTTCTTTATTTAAGTAATCTCCACACCCAACGTGGGGCTTGAGCTCATGACCCCAAGGATCAAGAGCCACACGCTCTACCAATTGAACCAGCCAGGTGTCCCACACTACATTTCATACTGACATTCTTTGGTTTGATTTGTTTTGTTGTTTTTTAAATATTTTATTTATTTATTTGATAGAGAGAGACACAGTGAGAGAAGGAACACAAGCAGGGGGAGTGGGAGAGGGAGAAGCAGGCCTCCCGCAGAGCAGGGAGCTCGATGCGGGGCTCGATCCCAGGACCCTGGGATCATGACCTGGGCCGAAGGCAGATGCCCAACGACTGAGCCACCCAGGCGCCCCTTTGTTGTTGTTTTTACCTCCCAGGTCACGGCCACTCCTCCAAGCAACACAATGCTTTTATCACAAAAAGTAAGCTTAAGCCATAGGCAGAAAGCCAGGTCTCAAAGAATTATTGCATAACGACATTTACAGCCAGGGAGTCCTGACTTAGGAATATTATTCCACATGTCAGAACATAATATTTATTCGAGGGTTTTCAGTCTTTAAAGATCAAGAACATCTCCTGATGTAGGAGAGGAGTATGATGCCAGAGAGATTCTCCAAGTTCACGGACAGTGAGTGGAGCAGGCAGTTCATACAGCTGCATGAGATTCTGCTATTTTCTTAATTTGAAGGGGAAAAAAGGAGGTGATAAGAGTCCCTGGCTAATCTTTAGCCTGCTCACTGAAAAGATGCACATCTAAATATATTTCCCAAAGTAGTGTGTCAAAAAGAAAATCTCAGGCTTACAGATCTTTAGTAGCATGAATAATTGCCACCTAAATTGGACAATATATAGACCTGACATTTATGTTTTGACCTCTAAAGCAGGACATCTGTATTATCTTTTTAGGGGACAGTTTCCAAGTTTATAAACCCTACTTTTCTTAGAAATATCACTGCCGACTCACAGACAGGAAATGCACATGACTCTTCTTTCCAGAGCTTTGTCTACAATTGTTCTTACTCACCATTAGAACCATCTGAAGACTTTTTCAAAATACAAGGGCTTGAATTCTGAACTATGCAAAAATTCTGCCAGACTAACTTTTAAGCTAGGATATGTGTTTTACATTAACCTGAAAGTTTGAGAAAATATACATGTTTTCAAAGACAATTATAGTGCAAACGACCAATATTATAGCCACCAAGAGCATTTAAAAAACATCAGAAATAGCTCCTCCCACCAGCAAAATACCTATTTCCTTGAAAGAGCTATCGCCAAATGCAGAGATGTCCAAAGCACTAGCCAAAGATAATAGCTTTTTCTTAAATACATTCGGACATAGATTTAGTTTATGTTGATGCAAAGACTTCTTGTTTTTAAAGCAAGCAAAATATAATTAAAGTTTAAAAATACATTTCATTCAACTTTACCTATGCGGGAGAGTGTTAGGTAGGTCAAGAATGATTTAAATTTTGATTCAATGAAGTAGAGGAGAGCAGACTTGGAAAACGATCTGAGTTGATAACATTTAGTAACACTACAATGTTCCTGACATTTGTCAGGAAAAAAAAATTACATGAATACGTTCTGATCACATCATATGGGTATCTCACTTCTCTATTAGCAAACAAACAAAAGGAGACAAAATGAAACAAGACAATCAAGATGTAACCTTACGGGGCCTGTACTTACAGGAGGAGGCGGTCGACTCTTGGTCCATCCTGCCTGTGAAGACCGACTGGGGGGCTATAAACCCTCATTGCTGCCCTGCTGCTTGGGTGCTGGGACGACCAGTCCCCTTTTATAACTTTCAGGTAGTGGTGCTGATCTGCTAACTATTTATAGACATTAAGTAAATTGAGCTCTATGTTGAGACTAAACACAGGACTGACTCATGTTTCTTAAATATGTTTTTCATCACTGTCAGAGAAGCCAAATATTAATAATCTGAGTGGACACCAAAAACTGATATTAACAAATTAAACAAAAATGAGTAGAAAACTAAGCTATACCACCATCATGTGATGAAAGGAAAGGTACAGGACAGATTAACATCCAAAGGAAACATTCATTTCTTCAACTCGAACTCACCCTCATTAAAGTAAAATAATGAAAGGTATAAAATACACACACAGTAGGACAACAAAGCTTGTAACAAAACAGGAATCCCTTCCCTGGGAAGGGACCCTCCCCCCTCCTGATTTCACTCTCCAGAAGCAACTACTTTCAATCTGGTACTGACACAGTGATT